TAGCCTAGATGCCCTAGAAGCTCATGCTCAATTCAGTCCATTATCTCACTGTACGTCGTTCGCGAATTCGTGACCTTTTAATTGTCAATCGGTAAATCTATGTACCGATTCGTGGAAGTATTGTAAGAATTAGTTGAAAAGATCTTATTTTTTAAATACGTATTTTCTTTCGTTTAATCTTATCTTGAAATGCTGTAATGGAATGCAAGAAATGATCTGCTAAAAATCAGTTAATAGTTATTTATTAGTCAAATGTAAAAAATGTTATTTATTAGTCAATTGTGTTAAGTCATATTATTTGTGTATTAATGTTATTTTTATTTTTTCAGAATGATCAATATATATATTGTTGCTATTACAATTTTAAACCATTGAATATTATTTTTTAATTTTTTCTAGCCATTGCATTTGTTGCAAGTACAGACTTATAACAAATGTGGCCGAATATATGGGTGAGTTCATTATAAGTTTGATTTCCAGTATAAATATGCAATTTTGTAGTGTCAAAACAACTAATTCGTTAGTTCGCTAGTTGAATATTTAATTAAAATGCAACGAAATGAATAGAAATTGCGTTCGGTTGACATACACATTGTATGCGGTGTACAGTACATACACAATGCAACTTTTAGTTCATTAAAATGAATGTACCACTGATGACAAATCTACCATGAATGAACTCAATAATTTTTGGAATTATGAAAACAATTTTCTTTCATTCTCCTTATATGTAACTGTAATAAATGTGATATTTCAATTGATGTGTTATTTCCATAAGCTCAAACACAGGTACGTAAAATTGAATCTTTACCTTTTATGTTTGTCTCTGTTATTCATTTATTCCATCGAGTAAATTGTAATTTTCCCTACAGAAATTTGTAAATTTTCCCTACAGAATTTTGGACTAAAATTAATGACATCCTTTCCTAATGATTTGAACTGTATACTTATCAAATTTTGTGGCATTCTGAGTGTTTGATAGAATTCCAGATTGTCATAAATAAGAAATGTGTAATTAAACTATCCTGTAATTGTTGCTTTAAATACTAAATACAGAAAAAACTTATGACTTGGTCCTTAAGGATTTTAATAAAAGTGTTTATGTTCATAAGTCTTAGTATAAATCTTTATTGAAGAAAGGGAGAAAGCGCGCTTCTGAAATGTTTTCAAAAAAATTAAGGTTAAAAGCATCTGAACGGCTTTTCAATAAGTTTATCGAAGACTGGGCAATTCGGCGGCAACGTGTCTTACATTCGAAATTGCTGTCTGTTAGTTTAATGTTTAAAATAACTCATTATTTTATAGTTTATGATTTTATTATTTTGAAGTTATAGCTTTGGCCCACCAGTGGCCAAGTGATCTTCGTTCCTCAACACTGGGCGTTCGGTCGTGGGTTCATGCCTCGCTTGGACGGACTGACCACGCGGTGTTTTCCACGTCTGTAACGCCTGCATAGGGGCCAGTTTCCTTTAAATGATCTCCCGGAAGGCATTATTTCCCGCGCGCGAATGGCCATTCCACCTGAAGATCGGCTAATCACACGCATGAGTCCATATTCTCTCGGAGTAAATAGCCTATATGAACTGAACACTCCATATTAACCATTGTACAACAGAAAGTTATAACTTTAATTTATCCTTACTGTTTGTTTATTTTATTAACTTTGAAAAGGAAATATAATTATAATACAAACAAAAAGAAAGCAGAGAAGTATCATTGTTTACGATCATAAAATCTAATGAAATTCAACATGATGATGATAGTTTCTTACAACTAATAATTTTTTGAATTTATTCAATTGCTTAAATAACAAATTATTCATAATATTTTCAAAAGTGAAAAACTTTAAATTTATTTTTAACAAACAGCAATTTTAACACAAATTTTCAAAAAAGAGAAAATAAACATTTTTAACAGAAAATAAACAGACAAAATGGTATAAATCCATGTAATTTAAGACTATATTATGTAAAAACTGTAATAATTTCAAAAAACTTGTTATTCATTGAGATGAAATTCAGCGATCTCGGAAATATCAGTAAAGCACAATTGCTGCGCGGTCTTCGACGAAAGGTTCGCAAAACTTACTCATAAGTCGCTTGGCTTTTTTAAACTGATTTTTTTAATAACGTTAAAAAAATGCGTTTTCTTTCTTTGCTCAGTAAAGATTCATACATCATATCAAGACTTATCAGTACAAACAGTATTATTAAAATTCAGATGGACAACATCGTAGCCTCCCCTTGTTAGCTGTTATCTTTATCAGTAGGTAGTCTATAAATCAGTTTAGGACAATTGAAAATTCTACTTGAAAGTATAATCGAATGTATATGAAGCTTTCTTCCAGGCGTAACTCAATCAAAGGACGCAGTAACGTAACATTATGGGAGTGCGAAAATAGAGCAATCCCGGGTAAAGTTCTCGTTGAAGTTTAAGGAGACCAGGAAAAAAGCAATGACATATCTACTGGACTGATCGTGTCACTTCGTTAGATATGTCATTGCATTTTTTCTGTTCTCCTTAAACTCCTGTTCGAGTGCCATGAAAATCGTGCAAGGGCCCTTTCCAGTTCTTATTTTGATATATTTTTATTTAGTACACTAATACAAAAAATAATTTTTCGCATTAATTGGCTGAAATTTTGAAGTTATTTAACTTTACATTTATGATTTTTATTGTTTCATTTTTAACAGAAAAAAACTATATTAGTTTGAAATTTATTACGGTAACATTAAGGAGTAAAAAGTTTATTAATAAACAAAGCCAATAACTTTTTATTGAAATAAGTTTTAGTAAAGATATTATTGTTAAAATTTCTGAAAATAACTAAGTTCATGAACTTCTATTGGTATGCACGAAGAAAGGTACTACAACTCTATATCTGGTAAAATGCGAGAAAAAAAGGTTGAGAACCGCTTATCTCAATTACAATTATTATTAATAACACTGACATAATAAATTACAAAAGCGCTTGTTTACATACAAATGAATGAAAGACTTATCTGTCTTCACATCAACACTAGATAAACACCAATAAAAAGATATTTTACAATCAATAAAATCAGTTTGCTTTTTAAATTTGTTTATATAATAAAATTAAATTAAAATTTGTTTTATATTTTTCAGCATTTTCTTCGGTTTAAAACCGCAACTTGTCGTCGCAGATCCTCAAATTGTTAAGAATATATTAGTTAAAGATTTTAACATGTTTCATAATAGAATGGTAAGTTTAATTAAACATATATACAAAGTCATCTTATTGTATTTTAAATTAAAACATAAACACAATACTTGTAAAACATATGACTAAGAATCAAAATTCAAAACTGTACTAAAAATTTTTTAATACAAAATTAGCTAAACTTACATATTTTGTTGAAACTTTACGAATGCAATAATAATAATTCTGGGGGGTAAGCCAAAGAGATGTTGACGTTAACCGATATTTATTAGCACATTATATATGCCTAAATTCAGTATCTCTAACTACAAAACGATTAACGGTAAGCGTTAACTGTGTTTCCCTGAAGCGGAATGTGTACATTGAAGTATAGAATTCGTGCCAGAACATCAAATAATACTAACCTATTACTAGCCGGCAATTGATTTAACGAGTGCCCACTGTACTTTCAATTAAAACTTTCTAAAATAAAAAAGATTAGAGAATTGTTTTCATTTGTTTTTATTTTCCAGTTTACGAGAAGTAGCCTATAGTAGTGAGCATTTAAAATTTCTTGGTACTGTATAACATCTATAATTAATGTGTGAAATGTAAACAATATAAAATAATTTATTACATAAATTTCAATTAAAATTATATTGAATAATAATAATTTTGATTTATTTTTCCTTCCAATAATTTTATAACGTCGCTTATATTAAAGTGCTCTTATAAATTTAATACGCTATTAAAGCAATGACGTTTTATATACACTTGCATCATAAGTTATTGGAAGAAACATATCTTTCAAACTTATTGATAAAATTTATTTTTTGATTTAATTATATATCATAAAAATTTCTTAAGTGACAGTTTTATTTAACAAAGTTACTCTAACTGTAGATCAATTTACCATTGATGAGGTATGTCGATTTGATCTCCATGAACTTTCCATGCGAATTCTTTTCCAATTGTAAAAGATGTTTCTAATGAAATTTGAATCGAATAATCCCGCTGTTTTCTAAGTAATTTTGCCGATTTTGCTTCTCCATCCTACTGATATGTATTAGTTAATTATTTTATTTTTCTTCGATACTCATAATAGTCATAGACTAATAATGCCAACAACAATAGAAGATGAAAAAAAAACACGAAAAATCTACTCTAGTTTTAGTTTAACTTAAAATTATTCAATCGCAATTATTCCTTCAGTTTTCGTAGTATTTATTAAGAAACATTTCATACTTAATTATTAATCAATAGTTGTGATTAATACAATAAAAATTATTTTATCACGTGTTATTTATGTCGTGATATACAATTACTGTAGATAAGTTTCTTTAAAATTAGCAGGTAATAATGGCTGTACTTCATTAGTTTAATGAAAGTAATTACAGAAAAATCTCGAAAATAGAAAACCTATTTTGTGCTTACCACTTAATGACTGACGATATTTGTAACATACATTAACAGTATCAGCCCACTTGTTGATGGCAATGTAACGATTATGTTCTAGCGATTTTCTTCTAGGTATTTACAGTGTTATCGAAAGGCATAAATATATACTAGTCAAAACAGTTAGAAGAGTGTTTAACATTAGCTATAACTGCAATAAAAAAATTCAACAACGACTTGCTTAACTTTCCCGGTAACAACATTTAAAACTGTATGTGACACCATATGTTACGCGGAAGTATTAAAACAGTTTTTATATTATTAATTATTATAAAAAAAAAACAAAAATTTAATTTTAAGAGCAGAATTGAGTTTTATAAAAAAAAAATTTTAATGAAATTTTACTCTTTATCAGCATTTAAGTTTGACTCCACTCGACATGTGAGAAGTGATTCCCTATATCTCCCCACCTCCTTGACTTGTAACCTGCAATATTTATCATCAGTCTCCTAATGCATAAATCTCTATGCAAAATTTCAAAAATTTTCGACAAAAGACACAGGAATTACTAAGCTTGAATGTATGTGAACAAAATCTTGTCATCCATCCACACACACAATAACATTCACACATACAAGGAAAGAGACCCAAATATTTTTGCATTTCTCGACGTTTGAAAGTGTCCTGAGTTTAAAAAATGTAAAAATCTTATGTGGATATTTTTTGACCGATCTCCGTAATTCCTCTCTGTTATGCGTAACAGAGTCCTTGGAACTTTGAAACGTAGAGAAACAATGAAGAAAATAAAAATATGAAAACAATTCGGCTCAAATGCATATCTATTCATCTATTATTCTATTATTGTATATTTTACTGTATCTAACGTAACAATAACATGTGGTATTCAAAATCGTTTGTTATATGCATCATCTCTTACTTTTCGTAAGTAAGAAATGTAATAATTTATTTTATTNAAAATGTCTTTATTATTTAATTGTAAATGTACTTATTGAAATATATTTATTTAAATATAGGCCTATGTTATATATTTATAATACGATTAATGAATATTTGACAATAAGAGTTTTTCATTAAAAATAATAAACATTTCAATCTCGAATGAAGTATTTTAGAATGAAAAAAGTTAGTATCGAAGTAAACATGATATTTTAATAAAAGTATTTAAACGATAATTTTTCCGAAGCTGAAAAATTAATCGATATAATTTTGAAATCTTTTGTCTGTGAGTCTTTGTAAAATTAGTTCGGTAGAAATGAATTTATAATATTTGTATGAAAATGTTGCACTATTTTTATACCTTTCTATCTGCGAAATGCGCTTACGGTTTCATTTGTAAATGGAATTGGTTGACAACACTAAAAATGTCACCTATCGATAAGAATGCACGTACAATTATCTTACATTTATTATCTTCTTTTTTGCCTGTTCCTTTAGTTACTGTGTTGCGACACGTTACGAAATTTTTCTGATGCAATATTCGTCCTATAAATTGAGCACAGTTAATGAACAGCATCTCTAACAGTTCTATTTGTTAACTAATAATTTTGCTTCTGATAGTAGAACGTATTCGATTTATAATTGATTTGAAGAAGATTCTGTTAAGATGGAATTGGATTTTATTTATAATATATTTAACTGGATTATTATATCTGCTGCAATCTTCATTTTTCTGTGTGTGTAAGTAGATTATATTATATTTATAATGCGTTTTTCCTCTTTTCACATTCATTACTAATTTTATTTTCATAATTAAAAATTAAATGTTAATAAATTAGAGAGAACAGTAGTCTTATTTCTTAGATAAGATAAATGTTAATATTTAATTCTAAATAAAAACAATTGAATAGTTTTCCAGTTATAAGTATACGGGTATAAATTAATTTAAAGTTTTAAATTATTAAATTTATTTATGTGATTAATCTGTTGATTGTTTATACTTAATTAAATTTAAATTCATTAATAAACAAGTTAAACCGTAACTGTTGGTAATAAACGCTTTAGCATTACTTATACGTATAAACTGAAACTTCCAATAATGTTGCACCATAAAACCATAACAAAAAAATTAAAGTCTACTTCTTTTCACTTTTTACATCAGAGAAGTGTATTCGCTATTTTTCGGCACACAGCTATCGAGATGCTGTTCATTAACTGCCTTGCGCTAAATTTTTAAGTTAATTTCTAATAGCATTGTGTCTTCCCGTCTCAGTCTTGTAGCTATAACGTGGAGTAAACAAGGAATTTCAAATGACTCAAAAAATAAAAATCAAGAGATTTTAAATCAGATGACGTAATCAAACTAACCGATCAGTCCACCCTTCTTTCAAGAAATTTCCGATCTGGATAATCTTTACTAAAATTCAGATCTTGGCAAATTTTTCCTTAGGCACAAAAACAAAATAAGTTTTCATTCTTTGTTACGGGCTTTATGATCTGTTTATTGGGACGTTTTCTTTTAGCATTAGATGTACAGTACAGTACGTACATACAGAATGATCATAACTAATGAATAATGTTCGGAGCTATCTGTAGAAAGAACCATTGTGCAAATCTCTATAAAATTTGGTATACATACTGTTCGGATACGCGGTTTCGGTTTCGGAAAAAGTTATTTTTATAATTCAGCAGCTAGAGCGAAATTTGATGCTAATTTTTCCTTATTGTTCGTTTTACATACACTTTCTAACGAATTTCGGGTTTTATACCCGAAATTCGTTAGAAAGTGCCAGTCGAGAAACATTCTTTACAATTCTTAGTTAGACGAACAGTTATAATGCTCACGTTGTCTGATAGTGTAAATTCAACGACACACATAAAAAAATATAGCCACACACTTAAGGAATTTCGGGGTGTTATTGAAGGGATCGTGTGACTATTGTGAATATTAAGAGAGTGATTTTGCATTTCGAGTAGACTAGAGCTTTCATTCCGAAACCAGGACAAGGTTGAATACTTGTTGGTGATCTGAAAATGCAAGATGTTCTGCAGTAGTGCAGCTTGCAATAGAAATTCGCAACGTAGTAGTAGTGATAGTAATGGTGGTAGATGTGCAAAATCATACCAATTACACAGGCCGTATACGACAATATTGAAAGTTACCTGATAAACCGCCCATACTGTCTTATACGGCGTGCTTTAAATTAAGTTATTGTGTGTCTGTCCAAACAGAAACTTGTAAGCAATTTTTCACCCACTCTCTAATTTTCAATCTACTTGAATATTTGCATAAGTATATATTTCCTATGACAATATAGTTTTTTTAGAATTATCAAACAATTTCAGCAATTAGCAAACAAAATTAGCAAAAAAATAAAATTTGTAGATAAAATCTGATTACAGATGACGCTACAAGCAGCTTGTGTAGCTCCAATTGTGAGGAAATCGTGCAAAAGCGGCAAGTCCTTGCCCCTTTCTAATCGTATTGTCTGCATAAAACCTTGTAACTGAATTTTCCGCCTATTTTCCAATTAAATGCTAAACCAAGAAATTTTTTCGAGTGGTTTAAATTTGAAAAATTTACATTCAAAATAAAGAAAGATCGGAAAAGACTCATGTTCGTTTGTGTTAAGTGATTATAACTTTGTTTTTTTTAAAATAAAATTTTAATGTGTAATAACACTACCGGAGAATTTACAAAATTTGTAAATTGTATTTTTAACAAATATATTCGATCGTTTAACATCATTTAATATAAATAACAAATGACGTAAAACGTTGTATAGTTGACGTCATTTTCCAACTTCTCTACATATTGATTATAATAAATTAGAAATTTACGTCAACTATACAACGTTTGACGTCATTTTTATCTATATTAATTGATGTTAAACGATTTAATATATTTCTAAACATTGCAGTGTAGAAAAACTGTAAAATCGCTAGTCGTAAAATAAAATATTTCGATTTTATATAAAGAAATAAGCCGAGAAAACATAAATATAAAGATAATTTATTTCATCACATAATAACTGTTCTGAAATTAAGCTACAAATAGATCACAATAAGCAGACCAAAGAGAGAAAACAAGAACTAAGGTCAAGCTGATTGAAAAAATATAAACGTCAACATTAATATACGTCATTGGCCCAATCAAGAATAATTATGTCCTTTATATATGTATAATATTATTTTTATATTATTATATTAAAGCAATAAACTGAAATGTTTTAATTAATTTATTTATTCGCATGCATAAAGTAAATAAGGTATTTTTGCTAAAGTTAAATAAATGAATATAAAAATCTTAATTGCTTTTCTTACAACTATTAAACATACTTATACACAATTGTTTATAACTGCATTTTAATATATTAACAATATAAATTATTATTATATTATGTTATATCATATATTTTTTAATTAATTTTTTGTATAGTCGGCTATATTTTTTAAAGGTAATTTTTAATGAAACATTATAAATTACATTAAACAATGATAGCTATATAATTTGGATCCATAGAAATAAAATTGATACGAAAGAAAAGTTTTATCAATAATTTATTTTCGCCGTTTATGAAAAACGCAATTACCAGAAAATAATAGGGAAATAAATATATAGTTATTTCCCTATTCTTTTATGTAAGAATACGATTAAACAATATGAATAAGATAATAAATAAATACAGTAGTTGTTTATTTGTTTCTTTTCTTTCTCACATTATTTATCGCTGAATACAGAAAATCCAAATAATTAATTAAGAGCATGTTTACAAATGTAGGAAAGTAAAATAAAATGTAGTTTTCGTACTACATTTTATTTTACTGAATTATCATTACTGATTAGTCAAAAGTTACGTTTGCCAGTCAAATAAATATCTTGCTTATTTTTAAAATGCGTTTAGGCATTGAGGAATTTTGGGATTGTTATAGGGGATAAGTAATCTATACCAAGAGAAAATATTGTCACTATATTTTTTTAAAATTTCCGTTGAAAAGAGCATTTAAATAAAGTCTTTATATAAATATTATTTTAAGAATTACTTTTGTAACCCTGAACTGTAATTGATGATTAAAATTATTTTTAGTAATAATTGCTTGAAAAATTTAGTCATGAAAATGAAATTAATTTTGCTTGAAAATTTTATGTATAGAATAATTTTATTTCTACATAAGTTATATTCTTTTCAATAAAAAATAGTGAAGTTTTCAATTTAGAGAGTTGGAATTGAAAAAAAAAATACTAAACTGCAATTAAAAATAAATATCCGTATATTACATTAATTGTTTTAACGTCCATTTAAATTGATTCTGAAAACTATTGATAATAACATCTTCATCTGTTGTCATGCACGCATAGAAATTATATTGTAGCATAAATAAAAATATATTTCCTAGATGGCAGTTGTTACATTGACGTAGGAAGTTACTTATACGGGATGTCCAAAGTTACGTTATATAGATTGTTACTTAATTACTTTCCTGGTTGACAATTCACTTGTCTCGCGAACATCATGCAACTATTTGAAATTTTTAACTATAAGTGGTTTATATTTATCGTGTTGGTGCTTCTTCTCAGTGTTTCGTAAGTAAGAAATGTAATAATTTATTTTATTCTGTACTTTCATAAAAATTACGAGTTATGTTGTTGTCTGATAAAGTTAGTTTCCATATTATACGTAAAAGTTTATGTCGATATAGGAAAACTTCGCTAAGTCGAAGTGTAAGGGTTAAGGAGACCGCAGTACTTTATATGAAAAACCCGATATAATGTGCCTAGGAATTTCAGACAACCTATAATTAACGCCCTTATATTATATTTAAAATTATTTACAATATTACAAATATTAGAATAACAAAAAATTTACTCAACTTTATTCTTGAGCTAATTCTCTACTGACAAGAATTTCGTCTTTTTAGTTTCATTTAATTATTAATATGTAGAGCTATTAGAGTCACTTAAGTGAGTTATTACAAGATAAATTTTAGTCAATCTATTATATGTAGGCTACAGTATATAAAATAATCCTGGCTTAGTGATGTGAACATTATTAATAAATTCTTTCTTTGATATTTTTACAATAAGATTATTTATTTAATTTATTATTATTANAAACTTATAGATATTATCTTTTATTTATGTGATAAGCTGCTAAAATATTTAATATCTTGTATAAATAAAACTATTTTGTATCTTTATATAATGAACCAATATTTAATTATATAACTATATCTTAATATTTAAATACTGAGACAGAATATAACTATAGATTATTAAGAATAACAAGGTGCAATTATAGAGAATAGGTAGATTTAATGCACTATCACTTTTATAAATTAAAAGATACTTAATTAAAACAGAATTTATACTTAAAGAGATTTTTAAACATTTTACTAGCTTGCTTTTCTTACAAATGACAATATATTGAAATTTTAATTCATCGTGTTTAGAATTTTTTGCACCACTCAGGAATGTTTAGATTTGTAATAACTTAATTTAAAAATTTAATTCATTACTATTTATTATTTATTTAATGTTTCTTAATAATAAAATTTGATATAAAAAATAATGTACTTTATAGTCACATAGAAACTTCATTTTTGTAGTCACAATTACTGGAATTTCTGGGCGATGTAGCGGTGTACGTTTATAGTTGACACAGTTGGTTTCATTTTTTATTTTCGACATTATCTCTAAAGTGAAGTTATTTTCATTTTTGAGTTATTTAGTAAGTTGAGTGTAATTAGTTTATATTAATCACCTTTATATAATTTATTATATAAATGGACGTAATAAAATATTTTTCCTGTTAGAGCAAAAGTTACAATAGAAACAAGTATCAATGCTTGACCTTGATTCAGCCGATTCATTATGTTAGTTACATAAAAAAACGCAAGCTGTATAATATAATGAGTTCAGTTTTAATGGATAAAAATACGCTTGTCTTGTAGTTTAGAATTTAAGTTGATCCTTTATATGCATACAAAATTTATTTTATAAGTTTTAAATATATTTTTATAAATAACTTAAAATTTCTTAACTTTAAACCTACAATTGTATTTGCATACGCTGTATGATAAAACAAGAAAAGGCTAAATATTCTAAAATAAAAACTTATATAATACTTAATTATTAATCAATAGTTGTGATTAATACAATAAAAATTATTTTATCACGTGTTATTTATGTCGTGATATACAATTACTGTAGATAAGTTTCTTTAAAATTAGCAGGTAATAATGGCTGTACTTCATTAGTTTAATGAAAGTAATTACAGAAAAATCTCGAAAATAGAAAACCTATTTTGTGCTTACCACTTAATGACTGACGATATTTGTAACATACATTAACAGTATCAGCCCACTTGTTGATGGCAATGTAACGATTATGTTCTAGCGATTTTCTTCTAGGTATTTACAATGTTATCGAAAGGCATAAATATATACTAGTCAAAACAGTTAGAAGAGTGTTTAACATTAGCTATAACTGCAATAAAAAAATTCAACAACGACTTGCTTAACTTTCCCGGTAACAACATTTAAAACTGTATGTGACACCATATGTTACGCGGAAGTATTAAAACAGTTTTTATATTATTAATTATTATAAAAAAAACAAAAATTTAATTTTAAGAGCAGAATTGAGTTTTATAAAAAAAAAATTTTAATGAAATTTTACTCTTTATCAGCATTTAAGTTTGACTCCACTCGACATGTGAGAAGTGATTCCCTATATCTCCCCACCTCCTTGACTTGTAACCTGCAATATTTATCATCAGTCTCCTAATGCATAAATCTCTATGCAAAATTTCAAAAATTTTCGACAAAAGACACAGGAATTACTAAGCTTGAATGTATGTGAACAAAATCTTGTCATCCATCCACACACACAATAACATTCACACATACAAGGAAAGAGACCCAAATATTTTTGCATTTCTCGACGTTTGAAAGTGTCCTGAGTTTAAAAAATGTAAAAATCTTATGTGGATATTTTTTGACCGATCTCCGTAATTCCTCTCTGTTATGCGTAACAGAGTCCTTGGAACTTTGAAACGTAGAGAAACAATGAAGAAAATAAAAATATGAAAACAATTCGGCTCAAATGCATATCTATTCATCTATTATTCTATTATTGTATATTTTACTGTATCTAACGTAACAATAACATGTGGTATTCAAAATCGTTTGTTATATGCATCATCTCTTACTTCCCTAATTGTTACGACCACTGTATTTCTTTTAATAAGTAAATAGTAAATAACTAAATACTTTAATTATATATTTAATTACATTATATAATTTATTAATGATTTTTGTTAATACAATTTTTAAATACTATCCAATTTAAATAGACATTTTTGAGATATTTTAATAAATATTTAATATGTCAAACATTCTAAGTTTGACAATTAAGATATTAAAATGTAGTCAAATATTACATAAAGTATAAATAAATGCTATCTAAAATTCTGTTTTATACATCGTTTATTTACAATAAGTTTAGACAAGAGTTATTATTTAAAAATTAATGCAGTTTTTAATGATTCCAGTGAGAAAAATAATAAAAAAGTCTGGTAAACAATATTTGTGGAAATGCGCCAGTTTGGAATTATAATAATAACAGGATCTATAAGTATCTCAAGTTGCTAAGGGTTACATTAAAATTTGGAATATTAACAATTGTATGAACGAAGTTGTTTCAAAATATACAATATTCAAGTGTATATAGATCCATTTCTCAGTATGAAATCTTAGAAATTTGCCTTCAAAATAAAAAAGTAATAAATGCCAAAATAAATTATTTTCGAGGATAGATTAATTTTATGAAAATTCATTTCTATTCTTATTTGATATTTAATAACTGTGCTTATTTTAATTTTCGAATGATTAAGTTTTAATTGATTTTTGCTTTCAAGTATTAAATGAACTTTGATAATATAAAAAGTTTTTAATAAATCAATTCAAACATTACATTATGTAATTTTTTTTTAAATATTAATATTTTGAAATTAAATGTTTTCATGAAATCGTTCCGCGATATTAGAGTTGTAAAATGCTAAATTTATCTAAATTGCGAGGATTTTAAAAAGAAAATAAGCATTATAATATTAATTTATAAATGTATTGTAAAGATTTCTTTCTAACATGACATTTATATTACACACATTGCGTCGTATTTAGTCTTATTTTATTCACGCATAATTTAGAATCTTGTATTGTGCATACAGATATTATATTTTTTGATTACTCTTTACTCTTTATTTAAATTCGGATATCAAAGTATCCCGATGTTTGCTAATATACTAATTTTAATATTTTTATTTTCAGAGAAAATGTAATATAATCTGATAATCAAATGTTTCTTTTCAGATATGTCAACAGATATTTTAACTTTTGGGAGAAGCATGGAATTCCTAGCCCCACAACCAACATTTGGTCTTTCTTAACAGGACTATATCAATTTATAAATAAGGTAAGTTGATTTTAAACTGTTTATCACTAATTGTTTATTCATAACTCGTTTTATGAATTAGCTTATGTCATTATACATTCAAAAAATATATTATCAGTGTTTTAAGAGAGTTCCTGAAATCTTTTTCAACATTATAGATTACTTTCAGTTTTCTGAATGATTAACTTTACAGATAAATTCTTAACATAAAAACACTTGACTATTAGAAATTATCTAATGTATTATTTTTAAAAACTTCTGAGTGTTATCTTAAAGAATAAAGAAGATAACACTCAGAAGTTTTGTCTTTGATCAAATGCGGTCCAGAGAAAAAAACGTCGGTTAACTTTTTCGGATCTAACCTATGATGTTTCATCTATTTTTTAAAGAAATAATTTTTTTAAAAAAGTGGCATTCAAAAGAACCGCACCATTGATATAATACATATCTATTACTTATATTAGAAAAGTTGTTGTTGTTTGTTCAGTTATGGCACTTGGGCGAACTGCCTAGGAGATGCCTTCCGGGAAGTCTTGTTACGGGAAACTGACCCCTATTTAGGAGAAAACCCGGAAAACTCCACGTGGCAGCCCGTCCGAGCGAGGCGCGACCCACTCCCGAACTCCTAGTGTTCAGGATACGAAGACCGCTTGGCCACTGGTGGACTCCTCAACAGAAAAGTAAACTATCTTATTTACAAATCTTTTCAAAATAGACAGTTTGACCGGGTCCTAGATATTTGTCTCATTTGTCTATGCGATGATCCGGCCCTGATGTGAATTAGTATTTAAAAAATAGAACTAAATTGTTGTAAGTTTTAAAAACTTACTATAATTATAATTTGCTAATTATTAAATAAATACATTAATAATATTATCATTAATGCATCTATTTAATAATTAGCAAATTATAATTGGAAAACGCCTATACTAAAGCTAACTTTTAATGCCAAGAAAATTTTGCAAACAAAAAATTAAAGCTTTTTGTGAAATGTTTTAAATGAAAATTTTTATTAATACAGTAACTCTTAAAATGAACTGTTTTAGTCTACCTTATTGTTTGAGTTTGAAAATAATCTAATGAAATAAAATTACATTATAATATTCATTGGCAGGTATTACTGTAACGACTATCATAAACTCATTCAACTACTATCACATGACAATTACGTCATGGACGTACAGTACTTTATTACGGAGCGATATAGCCTAGATGCCCTAGAAGCTCATGCTCAATTCAGTCCATTATCTCACTGTACGTCGTTCGCGAATTCGTGACCTTTTAATTGTCAATCGGTAAATCTATGTACCGATTCGTGGAAGTATTGTAAGAATTAGTTGAAAAGATCTTATTTTTTAAATACGTATTTTCTTTCGTTTAATCTTATCTTGAAATGCTGCAATGGAATGCAAGAAATGATCTGCTAAAAATCAGTTAATAGTTATTTATTAGTCAAATGTAAAAAATGTTATTTATTAGTCAATTGTGTTAAGTCATATTATTTGTGTATTAATGTTATTTTTATTTTTTCAGAATGATCAATATATATATTGTTGCTATTACAATTTTAAACCATTGAATATTATTTTTTAATTTTTTCTAGCCATTGCATTTGTTGCAAGTACAGACTTATAACAAATGTGGCCGAATATATGGGTGAGTTCATTATAAGTTTGATTTCCAGTATAAATATGCAATTTTGTAGTGTCAAAACAACTAATTCGTTAGTTCGCTAGTTGAATATTTAATTAAAATGCAACGAAATGAATAGAAATTGCGTTCGGTTGACATACACATTGTATGCGGTGTACAGTACATACACAATGCAACTTTTAGTTCATTAAAATGAATGTACCACTGATGACAAATCTACCATGAATGAACTCAATAATTTTTGGAATTATGAAAACAATTTTCTTTCATTCTCCTTATATGTAACTGTAATAAATGTGATATTTCAATTGATGTGTTATTTCCATAAGCTCAAACACAGGTACGTAAAATTGAATCTTTACCTTTTATGTTTGTCTCTGTTATTCATTTATTCCATCGAGTAAATTGTAATTTTCCCTACAGAAATTTGTAAATTTTCCCTACAGAATTTTGGACTAAAATTAATGACATCCTTTCCTAATGATTTGAACTGTATACTTATCAAATTTTGTGGCATTCTGAGTGTTTGATAGAATTCCAGATTGTCATAAATAAGAAATGTGTAATTAAACTATCCTGTAATTGTTGCTTTAAATACTAAATACAGAAAAAACTTATGACTTGGTCCTTAAGGATTTTAATAATAGTGTTTATGTTCATAAGTCTTAGTATAAATCTTTATTGAAGAAAGGGAGAAAGCGCGCTTCTGAAATGTTTTCAAAAAAATTAAGGTTAAAAGCATCTGAACGGCTTTTCAATAAGTTTTATCGAAGACCGGGCAATTCGGCGGCAACGTGTCTTACATTCGAAATTGCTGTCTGTTAGTTTAATGTTTAAAATAACTCATTATTTTATAGTTTATGATTTTATTATTTTGAAGTTATAGCTTTGGCCCACCAGTGGCCAAGTGATCTTCGTTCCTCAACACTGGGCGTTCGGTCGTGGGTTCATGCCTCGCTTGGACGGACTGACCACGCGGTGTTTTCCACGTCTGTAACGCCTGCATAGGGGCCAGTTTCCTTTAAATGATCTCCCGGAAGGCATTATTTCCCGCGCGCGAATGGCCATTCCACCTGAAGATCGGCTAATCACACGCATGAGTCCATATTCTCTCGGAGTAAATAGCCTATATGAACTGAACACTCCATATTAACCATTGTACAACAGAAAGTTATAACTTTAATTTATCCTTACTGTTTGTTTATTTTATTAACTTTGAAAAGGAAATATAATTATAATACAAACAAAAAGAAAGCAGAGAAGTATCATTGTTTACGATCATAAAATCTAATGAAATTCAACATGATGATGATAGTTTCTTACAACTAATAATTTTTTGAATTTATTCAATTGCTTAAATAACAAATTATTCATAATATTTTCAAAAGTGAAAAACTTTAAATTTATTTTTAACAAACAGCAATTTTAACACAAATTTTCAAAAAAGAGAAAATAAACATTTTTAACAGAAAATAAACAGACAAAATGGTATAAATCCATGTAATTTAAGACTATATTATGTAAAAACTGTAATAATTTCAAAAAACTTGTTATTCATTGAGATGAAATTCAGCGATCTCGGAAATATCAGTAAAGCACAATTGCTGCGCGGTCTTCGACGAAAGGTTCGCAAAACTTACTCATAAGTCGCTTGGCTTTTTTAAACTGATTTTTTTAATAACGTTAAAAAAATGCGTTTTCTTTCTTTGCTCAGTAAAGATTCATACATCATATCAAGACTTATCAGTACAAACAGTATTATTAAAATTCAGATGGACAACATCGTAGCCTCCCCTTGTTAGCTGTTATCTTTATCAGTAGGTAGTCTATAAATCAGTTTAGGACAATTGAAAATTCTACTTGAAAGTATAATCGAATGTATATGAAGCTTTCTTCCAGGCGTAACTCAATCAAAGGACGCAGTAACGTAACATTATGGGAGTGCGAAAATAGAGCAATCCCGGGTAAAGTTCTCGTTGAAGTTTAAGGAGACCAGGAAAAAAGCAATGACATATCTACTGGACTGATCGTGTCACTTCGTTAGATATGTCATTGCATTTTTTCTGTTCTCCTTAAACTCCTGTTCGAGTGCCATGAAAATCGTGCAAGGGCCCTTTCCAGTTCTTATTTTGATATATTTTTATTTAGTACACTAATACAAAAAATAATTTTTCGCATTAATTGGCTGAAATTTTGAAGTTATTTAACTTTACATTTATGATTTTTATTGTTTCATTTTTAACAGAAAAAAACTATATTAGTTTGAAATTTATTACGGTAACATTAAGGAGTAAAAAGTTTATTAATAAACAAAGCCAATAACTTTTTATTGAAATAAGTTTTAGTAAAGATATTATTGTTAAAATTTCTGAAAATAACTAAGTTCATGAACTTCTATTGGTATGCACGAAGAAAGGTACTACAACTCTATATCTGGTAAAATGCGAGAAAAAAAGGTTGAGAACCGCTTATCTCAATTACAATTATTATTAATAACACTGACATAATAAATTACAAAAGCGCTTGTTTACATACAAATGAATGAAAGACTTATCTGTCTTCACATCAACACTAGATAAACACCAATAAAAAGATATTTTACAATCAATAAAATCAGTTTGCTTTTTAAATTTGTTTATATAATAAAATTAAATTAAAATTTGTTTTATATTTTTCAGCATTTTCTTCGGTTTAAAACCGCAACTTGTCGTCGCAGATCCTCAAATTGTTAAGAATATATTAGTTAAAGATTTTAACATGTTTCATAATAGAATGGTAAGTTTAATTAAACATATATACAAAGTCATCTTATTGTATTTTAAATTAAAACATAAACACAATACTTGTAAAACATATGACTAAGAATCAAAATTCAAAACTGTACTAAAAATTTTTTAATACAAAATTAGCTAAACTTACATATTTTGTTGAAACTTTACGAATGCAATAATAATAATTCTGGGGGGTAAGCCAAAGAGATGTTGACGTTAACCGATATTTATTAGCACATTATATATGCCTAAATTCAGTATCTCTAACTACAAAACGATTAACGGTAAGCGTTAACTGTGTTTCCCTGAAGCGGAATGTGTACATTGAAGTATAGAATTCGTGCCAGAACATCAAATAATACTAACCTATTACTAGCCGGCAATTGATTTAACGAGTGCCCACTGTACTTTCAATTAAAACTTTCTAAAATAAAAAAGATTAGAGAATTGTTTTCATTTGTTTTTATTTTCCAGTTTACGAGAAGTAGCCTATAGTAGTGAGCATTTAAAATTTCTTGGTACTGTATAACATCTAAAATTAATGTGTGAAATGTAAACAATATAAAATAATTTATTACATAAATTTCAATTAAAATTATATTGAATAATAATAATTTTGATTTATTTTTCCTTCCAATAATTTTATAACGTCGCTTATATTAAAGTGCTCTTATAAATTTAATACGCTATTAAAGCAATGACGTTTTATATACACTTGCATCATAAGTTATTGGAAGAAACATATCTTTCAAACTTATTGATAAAATTTATTTTTTGATTTAATTATATATCATAAAAATTTCTTAAGTGACAGTTTTATTTAACAAAGTTACTCTAACTGTAGATCAATTTACCATTGATGAGGTATGTCGATTTGATCTCCATGAACTTTCCATGCGAATTCTTTTCCAATTGTAAAAGATGTTTCTAATGAAATTTGAATCGAATAATCCCGCTGTTTTCTAAGTAATTTTGCCGATTTTGCTTCTCCATCCTACTGATATGTATTAGTTAATTATTTTATTTTTCTTCGATACTCATAATAGTCATAGACTAATAATGCCAACAACAATAGAAGATGAAAAAAAAACACGAAAAATCTACTCTAGTTTTAGTTTAACTTAAAATTATTCAATCGCAATTATTCCTTCAGTTTTCGTAGTATTTATTAAGAAACATTTCTATTTTAAATTATAAAGTACAGTATATACTTATTCAAAGTATATCGTAGAAATAATAATTTGCACAAAATAAATAATAGATTATTATAATATATTTTTATTTTTATAAGATCTATTATGCAGCTCGTTACGTTTATGATATGTAATCGTCGATGGTAGAATTATGAAAATAATTACGATTAAAACAACAAAAAACATTGAAATTTAATTGTTATGTAGTACATATACGCAAATGGCTATAACATCTATTAATTAAACTATACTTTTCTTTCAGAAATTTAAAATTGGAAATCCAGTGTTCGACAACATGTTGAGTGTTCTAGCAGATGAAGATTGGAAAAGAATTCGATGTATTATGAGCCCAACTTTTACTAGTAGCAGGATGAGAAAAGTAAATGAAACTTTATATCTTAATAACATTTTCTTTTAATTTTGAATAATAACCTTTGTCTTATTTGCAAGTATATACTAGCAATTATTTATTGTGTCATCGTCACAATGCCGGACTCAATTTTTTTATCATAGTTGTTTGGCTTGTTTAATTTAAAATATATGCGCTCCAACTCAAATTAGTAGTGTCTTGACTCGTTCCCGTACATCATACTTTTCCTGTTAGCAATAGTCATGCTGATCATCTGTCTAATTCCTTTTATGGAAAAATTTGAATTGAAAAAACATGACTTTTTGTTTTCGTCCGAAGTTCTAATACAGTTAATAGGAACCGGTTACCTTCATGCTTTCCATAGCTTGTCTCGACTTTCACTTATATAAATCTTTTCTCGAGATGAACAAAGGACAGGCACACAGACTGACGACAGAGGAAATTTATAGGTCTACAATTTTTTCAAATTGAAGCGCGGTGAAAGCTGTTGTCACTGTATTAATTAATTTATAACTCTTGGCAAGAATGTTTTATAGACATAAAGGTAAATATAGTGTAAGAGTTCAAATAAAAATTTTAATGCTTTATTTTCAAGTTTATATTTTATTAAGTTTTTGATTGAATATAATGCTTGAAGCTTTTATTAAGAAAACAATCTGACATGAGTAGCTAAATTTTGTTTTGTCAAACAGCTTTGATGCGGCGTTAATATTCTATTAATTGTAGAGAACTTCGTTTGATTTCAGCTAATCTACACAAAAAGAAGAATACACCAAAGCAAGCTTACTAAATATTGGATCTACTCTTTGTGTGTTTTCGCAAAAATCCACTGGATGTTGTTTTGCTGAATCCGAAACTAAACTTTGATAACAAGCGTTTTATCTACAGACATATTTTATTCTCTGCTTTAAAACTCTGCAGTAATTACATTCAATTTGTTGAAACAAACTAAATCCAATTGCTGAACTTGTTTTTAAAAATAACTGAAGGTTGTCTTCTGCTCGTAAAAGTCGATAGTTTTTGGTTAGGAAACTTCTTTAGTTAAAGTAATGCTTTCAGAGTTCTGAGATTTTGCCATAGTTTACAATAAATTCATTACCTGGTTGTGCTTCAATGTTGTAAATTAATTTGCAAAAGTCTGGAAATATCTTTATAATAGAATTTTCACTGTGTTAAATTCTTTGTTTTTTGACAATTCAAAATCACGACGAACAGAACATACGAAGATGCTTCCTCTTCTTGAATTAAAGAAATCCATTCCCTTAAAACCATCTAGGATTTGAAAATGATAATGCGCAATTTTTCCAGCAATGTGCACCATCTTGTTATTACAGCGATAAATGGCAAAACATTTGTTTTTCCATTTTGCTTAAGGCAGTCTAAAAGAATCTCTTTTTTCTCGGCACTTTCACAGTTACTACTTTTACACTAACAATGAACTGGACCAATATAATGAACTTAGTTATAATTTTTCAGTCCGAAGGTGAAGGATTAGAGCCCATTATGTGGCAAGCTTCGTCCTTTTTTATATATCAGGTCTGTTTTATTTTTCTGTGTCTCGCAGATCTTCCGCCATTGAAAAGATATAGTCTTATCACTTTTCTATTGCTTTCTATTGCCAATACAAATGCCTGAAAGTACTTTATACTTATATGGAAATGGGTGAAAAAATATGGTTTTTTTACAATTTACATCTGTTTATCATTTGTTCGAAATGTTTGCATAAATGCCTATTGTAAAGATTTCACATATAAATACAATAAATAAAAAACGATCTCCAAATATGTGATTATATTTTCACTATACATTAGTAAAACGGAAATATTTATTAAGTTTTTGATTGAATATAATACTTGAAGCTTTTATTAAGAAAGCAATCATATCTTCAAAGATAAACTTTCAATCATAAACGAACACGATGCAGACATCAAGTAGAACGGAGCGTAGATGTGATTAGTGTCTAATTAAAAGAGAATTCATTAAATTCAGTTAATTCTAGTTTATTTGTTGTTAGTTAGTGTAGTAGGGTAGTTCTCCCTTTTTTCTTTTTTGCACTCATTTGTTATAATTCTCAGAAACCTTTTATCTTATTTTCGGTTTTATTATATTGCCAAAATTTTTATTAATTTTATTGTAAGACAAAAATATACACGAGTTTTCGGCTTTTGCGTCTATACTTCTCCGTATTTGGAGTTGAAATAGCATGAATTATTTCATTCTGTCCACGTGACATTGGTTCCAGCTTTCAGAGAACATTTGTTACCTTGTAGATTAATGTAATCATTTTACTGAAAAATATTTGAAGTTTCTACGTCCGAAAGATTTTGCCTTACTCAGATTCCTGTACTGTAACGAGTTATGAGTTCAGATTATATACATGTATTGTTAAAAGAAAACCTTAATATGATGCTTAATTAATATACTTTGTATTTATTTCTATTGAATATTTCTAAAGATAAATTTGAAGGCATTCATTCTGAATAGAAATTTTTCAAGAAATTGAATTAACCAGGAGTTTTATATATTTTATAATGAAACAATCAGCACGAATGTATTATATAATCCAATAATAAAGATGTATTTTATAAAGAATTTATTACGTTTTCGTATTTATTAACGTAGAAATTTTTCAGATGGCATATTTGATAAGAGAATGTGCAGAGAAATTCACAGAGAATTTGAAAAATAAGGTTCCAATTAATGAAAATCAGACCTTGGATTGTAAAAGGTAACTTAAATATAGATTTACAATATTACAGATCAATCAATAAAATTTTATTATTTAACTTATATTTACATCATTTTCTCAAGAATTATGCATAATTTTCAAAATAATTGAAAAAGCAGATACCATGAATTTACGATCCTAATCTGTTAGAGATGAAAAATATTTTCGAAATGTAAATTTCTTCTTAAAAGATATTTAAAATATATGAATTAATTTGTCATGGAAATGACCCATGAGCTATAATATTCGATATGTCGTCTTATATTCTTTCAGAGTGTAAAACTATTTATAGAATCAAAATAACCTGATATCTGTAGTGTTAATAGAATCAAATGAAGTATTTCAAATAATATTATTGATTATTATTAAATCTAATCTGATAAATATTTAATAATTTAAACTATTATAAAGACGCTATATAGAAAACGTTAACTTTGCAATATGTAAAATATAATTTCTATAAGAACTTTATTAAAAACGTCTTTAATTAAAATTTTTATGCATTGTAATAAAAGCATAAAAGTTATGAATTGTGTTTTTGATAATAACTGGTTATTTTAAAATAACATTTTTGTTAATAACGCAAAATTTAAAAATAATTAGAAATCAATATAAATTAAAAGAATAATAGAAAAACAAAAAAGAATATCAACTAGAGAAGTTATTTCATACTCAGTGGGTCAGAAGGCAAGGGGAGAATTTAGGCATATTTTCGCCTTAATTATTTTAAATAAAATGAAATGTAAAATTCGTATAATAGAATTCATTTACGTTAATGTAGTTTTTACGCAACTATCTTAAGAAATAATTTATTAAGCCAATTTCATCTGAAATCAAAAATCTATCTGCAGTTGTTGGACTGATTTTTGCCGTAGCAAATTCTGTAGACATGCGTATTTATGTCAAAAACTATTATTTATCACTCGAAAATAAGTATTTGTTTCTATCTAGGATTAAATATTCTTAGCAGATAATTACTCCTACAGCAGTAAATACTATACTATACACGAACGTGGATACTATATTTCTTTTTGTTTTGAATCCAATAAATTTGAATCATTCTGATTATTTTTAAAACTTTTTTTTCATATTTTAATAGGGCTATAAACATAAATTAGTTACTTTATTATTAAAAGACGATATATTTGTACTTCAAGTCAAATAACATAAATTTAATAAACTTTTTTCTTTAAAGTAGAAAATAAATAATAATATATTTCTAATTACCACTATGCATAGTACAATTTGATTATTTACAGTTATTTGAGTACTTATCCTATTGATGTAATCGCTTCCACTGCATTTGGAACAAAACTGAATTCTTTAGAGGATCCAAATAACGAATTTGTTAATAAAGCACGACAGGCATCTAATACAGATGCTTCTCTTCGTCTTACGCTTTTCTGTAAGCAAATTTTATTAATTAAATTAACTTTTATAAAAATTCTTTAACTTGTTGAATTTTCATAAATTAATTTCTAATTAATTTTATTAAGAAATAATTTTAAATTCGTCTAATTAACATAACTAGACAAATTTTTGTTTATATTAATGTCTGTGAAATGTTTAATAAATTCATTACATAAATTGTAAGTAATTAGAGGTGTTGCATTCTGTCGCAATACGAGATCAACATTTAATCCCGATTTCTATCTTCTTTTTACTATAGCAAAATTATGAGACAACTCAATAATAATGCAAACCATCACAGAAAATTTCCTCTTCTTCTTCTTCATCTTCGCCTTTTCCCATGTCTATATGGGGTCAGCATTTCCTTCATCAATACGTTTCTTTTTTTTTTCCTATCATATGGCCTTCTTTTCTCTTAAGTCCTCTTTGATTCAAGACTTTCTTTACTTATCTTTCCAACGCAGCCTGGCCTTCCTTTCTTGATCCCTGCCATTCAGAATCATATAAGCTGTTTTAGTTCTGCTAATCATCATGTTTCTATCTTCCAAAACGTTCCTCCAATATTCCAGTTTCTTCTCAGTCTTGGTTTGGGAAAATTCACATAGTACCTTCCCAAACCAAGTACAAGATCAATCCGCATACAGCATATTCTACGGAGCCTCACACTTTACGTCACACACCAACACGTCTATTATTAGGTCAAACAGATTAAGCCTAAGGGTCGATTCCTGATGTAAACCAACATTAACTGAGAACCCTTCTGCAGTGACTTTACTCTTGAATTGATTCTCTGCTCCCTCGTACATTTCCTTGACGAGCCTAACGTATTTTTCTGGAACATTCTTCTCCTTCAAATATCTCCATACCTCTTTGCCTTGGTATCCTATCTTACGCCTTTTCTAAATCTATGAACACAATGTGCAAATCTTCCTGCATTTCCCCGAGCCTTTCCATCACCTGTTTCAAAGCAAAGATAGAATTAGTCGTACTTCTTCCCGGAATAAAGCCAAACTGTTTTTATTCAATCTCAGATTCTTGTCTAATCCTTCTGTCTACAATTTTCTCCTAAATCTTCACAGTATGAGACAATAACTTTACACCTCTATAGTTTCCCAATCCTGTACGTCCCCTTTACCTTTAAAGACTGGCACAAGAATATTCTTCCTCCATTCATCTGGAATCTTCTCCTGCTGCCAGTTTCTTCATAAGGTCCCAGAGGATATCAATCCCTTCCTTACACAAACCTTTCCAATCCTCAACCGGAATCTGATCAGCGTCTACTGCTTTCCCCATCTTCATTTCCCTAAGAATCCTTTTCACTTCTTCTCTATTAATATCTTGCACAACTCCTTCATTTGCCTCTCCATTTTCGTATAAAGTTCTGCGGTTTTAATCATTCAATAAATTCCTAAAGAATACTTTCCATCTTTCCTCGACTCTTTCGTAATCTTGTAATACTACTCCTGTATTATCTTTAATCAGTTTAATAAGGCATCAAAAGATTTTATCTCTATCTCTTAGCAATTCTCATCATCTGTCTTTCCCCACTTTTCCTTTCGAAAACTTTATATGCCTCTTCTAAAGTCTTTGCTTTAGAAATATCTACCGCCTTTTTAGTCATTATATTAAAAAAAATTAATATAGCTTAATGTATTGTACTGTACTGTACATAAAACTTATATAGTAAAATATACGATTCGTATGAAATAATGTTGATTTTTAATTTATTTTAGTTTTATTTCCGAAGTTAATAAGATTTTTGAAAGTAGACATTTTTGGTGGTGCATTCGACTTTTTTCAACAATTTGCTTTGCATGTTGTTAAACGACGCGAAGAAGAAAAAATGGTAGGTCTTATTTCTAACTTTCAAAACCAGATTCAATTTTACTAGTTTTATTCATATTGTTTTTAAAATTGTCATAATGTGCTATAAATTTCATTTTTAATTATAATTTTATATTGTAAAGTTTCACAACTGGAATCAAAACTTTGGCTCAGAGAACACTGTGTGCATCGCAAAAATAAAAAATGTCACATAAGTGAGTAGACATTCTTAGTCTCAAATAAGAAGTTCAGTTAGATGAATAACATGCACAATTATATAGTAATTAAGCAATGCTGACAATAGAGTATAGAAAAGGACGTATACAGTGCATAATAAAAAAACAATTTGTTCGGACAAGTTTTATATTAATACAACACACAGCTCTCTCGTTTAGAATTTATCCTTCCGCAGGACGGTTCTAATAATCGCTTTCACGATCTAAAAACTGACTACAATCCGTGGCAATTAACTACAAATAAACAAAGAATCTATAATTATCATTCCATTGTGATACCTTTTAGCAATAGCGCCTTCCATTTTCCTAATAGTTCTTCATAAGATTTAGATGGGGCTGTAAAGTCACAAACACTCTAGATCAGCTTTTTCAAACTATGGATCTCATTACAATTTTAATGCATTGCAAAATGATACTACCTTCCACAGAGGCACAGTACTTTTAATACTTATATCACTGAAATATTCTCTAAGAACTATCAACGATAAATGCATCTGTTAAGTTCTGGAAATTTTTAATGACTTTTTTCTTTATAATTATTGTTGTCATTTAGTAATAAAATTAAGATTATAGAATATGTGTATAAGAAATTATTTTTGCTTTCAAATTTGCATAACATCAAAATAGATATTTTATGTAAGGTCGTAATCATAATGCCATTTATGTTGCAATGCATTTTGAAAATATTTTCTTGTTTATTCAAACTTTTAGCATTTTTGTCAAATATAACATTAAATTATAAAAATAAGTAACGGGTGGATTTTGGTACAATCAAATACAATTTGACGAAATCTTACAATTTGAAGAGTACATTTAAAAAAAGAGTTTGTTACATTTATAAAAATAACTTGTAGTATTTCTCAAAATAGACTCCTGAATAGTCTTTAATTGTTATTAGTTCAATTTGAATAATAAAAACTGAAATTAATGTACGTTATTTGTTAGAAATCGAAATTGGCTCGAACTGCTCCTAATATAAATGTAATCAATGTTACATTTTTCACACGTGGAAGTTATCATCAATAATTCATGATTTTATTTTGTTATATACTGTACATTAAATCCAGTTTAACAGCTTTTTTTAAAATGTTATATTAAGAACATTTGGGTGGCGGGACCATCACAAACAAATACATTAGGTTTATTGAGCAAAAAGTTTGAGAAACGCTGCTGTTGATTATGTCCTTGTTAAGTTCAGATGGTTCCTTCCGATTTCCTTATTTGTAGTCGATCAATAAGAACACCTTACGACTTCTTAAACTGAGTTTAAGTCCGTTTACTGACGACTATTTACAATATAATATACAGTAATGTCGCTTGCTTGCTTCTAACAACAGAGTCTTAGGCTAGACTTGTTTCTCTCAACACGGTCTGGTCAGGCTCCCGTTTAAACGGTCGAGTTGCTTTATATCTATGTTCTAGATCCGTTGGCCGACCAATGAAGAGCTGAGCTGAGCTTTCTATCAGATTCGTTCTGGTTGACATACCTCGACTTGTCCAGAATGACTCGCCAATCGTCCCTTTCCAGAAAACGTGATCCCACGAGTGAAAACTTGACTTATTTTGTCACCCTCGAAACCTCCTTGACAGTCAGTCCCCAAGATTATATCATATGACTTATCTCTGCCGTGATACGATAAGAGACATTATCTGAAACGAATATCGTCAATTTTATATTTTCCTCATCCAGTTTTGGACATAGTTCATTTAGAAACACTAAGTACAAGTGAACTTTGCACGAAAAGTTTTTTTTTTCATAGAACAAAATATAGCAGACCATTTCTACTCATAGTGGCCGACACAACCGCGCGTTAAACTATAATTACTAGAGTGATTATAGTTTTACGCTGAGTTTATTTTTGAGTAGCATGGTCATATTTTTGTTTCATGGTAGCTTGGCACCCATTTTGTTCAAGAAGAGAACATTTGTATATGTTTTAGTACTATGAATGTTAAATACAAACTTTGAATATTAAATATAAATGCATTTATATATTTTACTTTCATTTTATTCAGAAAGCGAACGATTTTCTTCAATTATTAATGGATGCTCAGAAAGGCATCTTAGAAATTTCCCCAGAAGATTCTAGTGAAACGAATGATAAAGATGAATCCAATTTCAAAACGTTACCAAAACATAAAAGTATGTTGCTACTTATGTCTGTATATTCGTACATATGTGCTCTATGTGCATTGTTGAAATAAAATAATAAGTATTAAATTAATTACAGCTATGAGTTTGGATGAAATGCTGGCTCAATGTGTATTGTTTCTTTTTGCTGGAATTGAAACAACTACCAACACTTTAGCGTTTGTTGTGTATTACATGGCCTTGAATCCTGAATGTCAAAACAAGTTAATTGAAGAAATAGACGAAGTTAATAAGAATAATGTAAGTGAAGTTATAAATAATTACTTAATGATCTATATATTTATTAAATACAATTTACTTGACTATAAGAAATTTTCACTATTTTACATTAAAACTTATAAATAGGGTTAGCAAAATATCTTCCTACACTAAAAAAAATATGAGAAAATAGTTGCCTAAAGTATTTTGTATTTAGGAAGTTTATCAGGAAGCTAAAATAAAAGGTTGAAAATTTGCATAATTAAGTTTGAAAGATTCTAGTAATGTACTGTACAAGTAATTTAAAAATATGTATAATGAAACTAGCGAAGAAAAGTAATCTTTAATTTAACAAATCAAATACGCTAAACATGTGATATTGCAATTCTAATCTTTTGTCTATTTTCCTTATCATGTCTTAAGTCTGATGTCTTAAAATGGTAATTTTCGGGAAAAAGTTTTAAATTAAAACTTTCGTGAGAAAATAGGTAATTATATTATTTGAACAACACTGTGAAATATCATACTGAGAAATTGGATTGTTTTTCATTATAATGGAAATGTTGAATAAAATACATTTTCATATGCTAAAACTGTCAGTAATGATTTATACATTTATTTTCATTTTGAAATTAAATCGTTTAGGGTCTAATATAAATATAATATTTCAATTTAACTTTACTATTTCTTTTCAAAATGGAATTTTAATATTGTTTTATTTCAATTTGTTACATAAAGAAATATCAGTTTATATTTAAAATTAAAATTTAATTTAATTGAAATTTAGACTTATTTCAACCTAGTTTCATATTTGTTTTAAAATGTCACAAGCATAAATAATTATCATTATTCCTGAACCAACTAATTATATTTTTGAATTTTATAGAAAGAAATTAACTTTGATGTACTTTTTAAAATGCAATATATGGACGCTGTTGTCAACGAATCGTTCAGAAAGGAACCAATTGGAATACAGTAAGATAATATGAAATAATGAAATAGTTATATATAGTAATATTTAGGTACAGGTACCACACATTCAGCAAAACTCTTGTTAATGTTTTCCGGATATTTAGGCCTATATGTCAGTACAATATTTTAAACAAAACGATATGTTGCACAAGTCATGAACTGCATTACAAATAAAATTTCCAGAATGTCAGAATCACCAGTAACATTCACTGTTAACAGAGGAAATATGTATATAATTCGTCTCTGTAATCCAAAAATTTTTGATAGACGGACTCACAGCAAACTTTTAGTTAGGAACTCACTTTTATTCTTTAAAAAATGACATATGCATTTCAGGTTGGTATATTCATCCAACCCCTCTTCAGTGCTAATTTTTCAAAAAACAATAAAAAGCTACAATAACCAATACATGACACCAAATATATTACAAAATTAATTACTACTTACTTACTCTTAAAGTAAAAGTTGTGTATGGGTCCATCTACCACTACAACATCTAAACACCAACCATTTGTTTTCCATTTAAAATGCACTTGAAGTGTTTGCATAACATCACTTCTAAAAACCCAATATACATTATGACTATACTGTAAACTTAACAAATGTATACAATAACCAATACATTACATACCTTTAAAATATAAATAGTATACGAACAATCAAACCAACTAGCAATACATTTGGTTCTCTCATGTATTGCTAGTTGGTTTGATTGTTCGTATACTATTTATATTTTAAAGGTATGTAATGTATTGGTTATTGTATACATTTGTTAAGTTTACAGTATAGTCATAATGTATATTGGGTTTTTAGAAGTGATGTTATGCAAACACTTCAAGTGCATTTTAAATGGAAAACAAATGGTTGGTGTTTAGATGTAGTGGTAGCCCATACACAACTTTTACTTTAAGAGTAAGTAAGTAGTAATTAATTTTGTAATATATTTGGTGTCATGTATTGGTTATTGTAGCTTTTTATTGTTTTTTGAAAAATTAGCACTGAAGAGGGGTTGGATGAATATACCAACCTGAAATGCATATGTCATTTTTTAAAGAATAAAAGTGAGTTCCTAACTAAAAGTTTGCTGTGAGTCCGTCTACCAAAAATTTTTGGATTACAGAGACGAATTATATACATAGTAACATACAGCAGTCCAGATACAGAGAGGAAATATGTATTTTGAATGTTCCTCGCTGGAAAAGTCATTACAGCATCATGCTTTATTAACATCTCCTACAACAAAGTGTAAACACACTTTCGTAACATTACTAATAGTAGTCAATTAATTTTATATTTTACAGGAGTGTCGGTAACATTATAAAACATGTGCTGCAACTTGTCTTGTTAAAAAACAAGATAAGATTGCAGCACATTTGTAAAAATTTGTCAGAGAAATTACATTACAAATTGAGCTTTTATTTTAAATTTTTCTAATAAAAGTTTACATATACTGTACTGCAAACCTACATTGTTAACGCAACGTTTACAGTATATGTTTGCAGATATAATGTAAATGTACTGAACATGTCATTGCATGTAACGCAACAGTGTATTAATAATCATACTAACTGTTCAGTGATCAGAAATCGATATATTAAGTATTCAAAACATAATATGCCTAAAAACTTTCAGCGCCCTGTGTACACTAAGAAAGTCTTTAATTAAACAAGGCCATTGTGGGTTCGGCCAATCGAACAATGTTGTGTCCGGATGATGTCAGATCGGCATGTCATATCCAGGATGGACCGCAATGGCCTGATATGTGTATTCCATTTGAAAACTACAATATTGTGACAATCAGAGCCGGCCCTACCATAGGACGAACGGAGCTGCGCTAAGTCCTAGGTGGCGCCTCAGTGGTAAAGAAAATTAAAGGGTATAAATTAGGGGCAGCCAATGGGGGCGCCATAATAGGATCTCGCTCCATCCTAAAACTCGCCTCGGGCCGGCACTGGTGACAATATATAGGTTTCCGAAAATTATTATTATTAAAATCAATAGATTACAGTTTATAAATTTAATATTTCATTGAATAAATTAAATTTATCTTATAGATTAATGAGAGAATGCACAGAGGAATATGAAATATCGGAAATAGGCTTTAAGATACCCAAAGGAATGACTATAGCTATTCCTATTTATTCAATGCATCACGACAAAGAATTTTATCCAAATCCAGAAAAATTCGATCCAGAAAGGTAATTCTATAATTATTTTATATATCTGTTGTTCATATATAAATCTCTACAAATTAATATTTATAAAACACTATTTTAGATTTCTGCCCGAAAATCGACATTCTATTTTACCCTATACTTATCTTCCGTTTGGAGAGGGACCGAGAAATTGCATTGGCATGCGATTCGCCATTATGGTAGTAAAAATGTTTATTTTCCATTTGTTCCGTGATTTTCGAGTCCATGCTACGGAAGAAACAAAGGTATATATTTATCTTTAAACTTTTATCGATTAACAACGATAAAAAAAATTATTTGTACAGTTGTTGTCTGTAAAGGCCAAAAACTCTATCTTCAAAATGAAAACAAAATTGACAGTCAAGTTTTGCACATGGCACCATGACTAATACAGTAGTATCATTCATCGATAATGCTCAATACCTAGCATGAAAATAGAAAACGTTTTTCCGCTAGATATTGGGCAGTGTACATAAATAAGGTATAATGGCATGTGCGCAATGTTTTTGGAGATAGAGTTGTATCAGTTATAAAACTATTGAGCAGAGCTCATCCTAAGTCAGAAAGTATTTTTCTCTGATCGAAGTCGAAAGCAATCGCATGCCTATTAAACGTGAGTTTTGCAAATGTGTGGAACTCGGAAAGCCCGATGTCGTGACAAAACAGAAATTTTAAAATTGTATGCGCTGAGATATTCGAAGTAAAATTTCTTGATCTAAACTATGAGTAGGTTGCTGGTTGTAAGCTCGTCGCTCGCTCTATGTCAATTGACTTCACGATTGCTGTCGATTTACATTGATCTCCACGACAACTTTTTATTTTGATCTTTACCGCGAGCATTTAACATGCACGTATTCGTGACGAAAATAAGTTTTCAAAACTCCGCACGTGTCCTTCGACCGCATATGTACTGTACAGTACGTACTGTACGTATGTTAATCGGTCGCTGGAATTGGTAGGCAGCCGGTTGGCAATATGGGTGTTTTAAACGTTTCTTGGCATTTTTTGTCGACTATGACGATGGATACGCGCGTTTCCACGTATCTGTTGGTTTTAAACTTTAATTAAGATAGAACGTTAGAAGCATACCCCCATATTTGTGTTTTTGTGTCACGCCAAAACAGAAAAATCTATGCTGCGTAGATCGGTTTTCTTGACCTATAAAATACCTACTATACTTTAATTTTTAGTGAGTTTTTTAAAATTAAAATTAAATTTGTATAGTTTACAGTCTAAATCACTAGATAATACAGTATTACTAACCTTATAATACAGATGGGTTGTTAATAATAATAATAAGCGCAGAGCTCAAACGCTTAGGAGTTGAAAGTCGAAATTTGGACACAATTAGGATATGCCATGAGAATGCACACCAACAAGTAAGAAGGAATTTTTGGAAATTGTTAAAAAAGATTAAGTGTTATCCTGAATTGCTCGACTTCTACTGTATTATTTTATTTAGATGCGCTTTTTTGCGTTTTTGCGAGAAATCGAACATATTTATAGAATCATCTAAAAATTCTTTAATTATTCTCGGAAGAGAGAGACCTCATTCTTGCACCCGTGAAAACTGATAAGATTGGCTGTAGAACTATAAAAGTTATCTTACCTGTGGGTTTATCACACCGAAAGAGCAATCCAACACAGTTTAAAAATTCTTTATTTCTCTACTGTAAACAATTTAAAGAATTTTTAAAATGTGATGGATTGGACCCACGGTGTGATAAACTCCTACGTAAGATAACCTTTGTAAATATAAATCAAATACTATAATATGATATAATAGAATGGTTAGAAGTACAAAATAATTTTAATTAATCTTTGCTGTTGTTATTTTTTGCCCGAGCAACGCCGGGCTCATCTGCTAGTATTATTATGTTTTAATTATTCGCAATGTTTCACTAACAATTTTTTTTTATGAAGAAACCTTTGGAATTTTTTCGAGGGCAAGGTCTAATTCAACCGAAGAAAGTAATCGTCGAGTTAGAAAGAAGAAAATAAATTTGTAATTTCGAAAAAAATTTTCAATAAAATTTAATCNGAGCTACCGATTGGAAAATCAAATTGTATAAAAGTAAAATTGAAAGATTTTAGAAATATTTTAATACCCTTCACGCTTGGAATTCCAATTATGTTTTGAAGATTGAAACGAAACATCGTTACGTTACGTAAATCCTAGTAATTACATCCAAGCATAGAATAAAGGACTTATATAAGTCCAACACAAGTTAATATTGTATTGTTACGTCCAGAGATCCATACAAATATGGATTCATTTCATGGAATCTATAATCATTTACAAATGAAAAACGTATTCAATTACACATTATTATAAATTTATTAATTGTTTAGAATCTTTTTGTATTTTGTTATAATTCATTTATTTTAAATACAAAATGCATATGATAAATATGTGATAGTAAATGATTCATTTGAATAAGAAAATACTCTTGAAAATAAATTTGTAATTCCAAAAAAATTTCATCTTCTAAACTTTGAAACTTTCNAACTAAATGAAAAGTAACGAGCAACTATTTATTGTGTCATTCTCACAATGCCAGGCCGCAAGTTCTAATTATAGTTTTAATTTATTTAATTTAAAATAGTGTGGATTCTTAGGATTTTAGTAAACTCTTTCCCCTGTACCACACGCTTTTCATTTTAACAATAGTCATGAAGTTCTAACCAGACCGGAAGTACTTATATAGTTATTTGGGGACTCCTTCCCTATGCTCTCCGTGTCTGATCTCGACTTTTATCTGTCTAACATTTTTCTAGAGATTAAGGAAGGACAAACAGTTATACAGCCAGACAGATGCTATTTTAACTATCTACTCTTATAAATCATAAGCATCATTTATGAAGTTTACTTCTGTTACCAATAAAATGTGATCAACAAATATTGACGAATGGATCAGATCTTTCATGTAGAATAAGTTTAAAAAATTTGAGAATATACTAACAAAAAAAATTAACAACAAATAAATAATGGTAATAAAATAGAGATAGGACCTTAATTTTTTGAGTAAGAAATAATTGCGAAATACGGTTAGGCTGTATAACGACTACTTAATTTAAAACTTTCAAAGTTTCAATTGTTCATAAAGTACTAGTAGCCTGGGACGCCCCCTAGTGGGCGTTATTTATAAATTTCCATGAGGCACGGTTCCTTTGACTTATTTGTTCGTATCAATATGCTGTACATCTTTGTTAAAGTTCCAATGGTAAGATTTACCCTCCGAATGAAGAGGTGGCGACCCCCCCAAACTGTAGCCCAGTGCGAACAATAAAGTCAAAGAAACCATACTCCTACTTGCGACCCTTCGAGAGATATAAGCTCCTGAAATAATAAATTCCTATTACAAATATACTGAATTATTTATATTGTTATATTGACCAAATAATAATTTATTGGCCAAATGAATAATANTTAATTATAATGATTTTGGAGAGATTTTTTATTGTTTTTATTATAATTAAAATATACAATATATTTATTTTTCTGCTTTGATTAAAAATAAGTTAAATAAAGTAATGCTTTAAAAAACTCCAGTACGGAATACAAAGGAACAAACGGTAATTTTAACACTCTAAAATTTAAAATATTTAAAAGCCATCCGAATAAACTACTTAAACTAAATGAAAAGTAACGAGCAACTATTTATTGTGTCATTCTCACAATGCCAGGCCGCAAGTTCTAATTATAGTTTTAATTTATTTAATTTAAAATAGTGTGGATTCTTAGGATTTTAGTAAACTCTTTCCCCTGTACCACACGCTTTTCATTTTAACAATAGTCATGAAGTTCTAACCAGACCGGAAGTACTTATATAGTTATTTGGGGACTCCTTCCCTATGCTCTCCGTGTCTGATCTCGACTTTTATCTGTCTAACATTTTTCTAGAGATTAAGGAAGGACAAACAGTTATACAGCCAGACAGATGCTATTTTAACTATCTACTCTTATAAATCATAAGCATCATTTATGAAGTTTACTTCTGTTACCAATAAAATGTGATCAACAAATATTGACGAATGGATCAGATCTTTCATGTAGAATAAGTTTAAAAAATTTGAGAATATACTAACAAAAAAAATTAACAACAAATAAATAATGGTAATAAAATAGAGATAGGACCTTAATTTTTTGAGTAAGAAATAATTGCGAAATACGGTTAGGCTGTATAACGACTACTTAATTTAAAACTTTCAAAGTTTCAATTGTTCATAAAGTATTATCTTACTGCACTGAATACTCTAAGAAAAATTTTTACAATCCAATCAAAGAAAAAACCAATATCTTTTCAATTTCTTGCCCTTGAAGTATATTAATTACCAAAGTCGAATTCGATTAATATTTAATAAATTAAAAACTTTTAAAATTTAAAATTATTTTAGGTTTTTTAAATGTAATTGGAAAGCTTTAAAATTGATAAAATTCGAAATTTAATTATAACAGTTCTAAAATTTAACACATTATTGCTAATGTGAAATTGTATTCTTTATTTAAAAGCTTATTTTAACAATTTACATTTACAATGGCTTAGCGTTATTCCATGGATTTCAGCGCTTTTAGACCAGACTCGTCTCTAGTTTAAAAACGAATGTAAAGAGTAAAATGTTAATTATTCGACGTCGATATTTATTCATTTAGAGAAAAGGCTAATAGGCGTACTCATTGGTATAGCGATAAGAAATGAGGTTAGAAGAAAGTGGAGTGAAGTGGGTAGAGGTGAGAAATGCTTGATAGAGTGTAGTGTACAGTACATGGGAAATAGAGAGAAAAGATAGAGATTGGAAGTGAAAGAATGGAGTTCTATGACCGCCATGCTGAGTCCATATATAGAAACAAAAAGGGTTACAGAGTACCTCGTGCAAGAGCTAATGATTACAAGGAATATAATAATGCCGTACAAAACAAAAATTATGTGTCGTTATTTACAGCGGTAAATTACAGAAGAAATGCGACTGGGAAGAGGGAACGAGTTACAGAAAAATAGAGAACTTGAGAGAGGAAATGAGAGCGTATTTGGCGGTGACCTATCATCTGGATTTCTTCCTGTTCCTTGCCATATGATGAAATATCCGGGTTATTTAGACCGTTTCAGGCAATCAATCTTGCTGACGAAGATGCAAGATCCATGATTCCAAAGATTAAACCTTGAATCGTTTGTTTTATCACAAATCGGAAATCAAAATAATTTGCTTTATGTCCTACCATACTGTCACAAATAAAAGGAAGAACGTGCTCTACATGTCATATGTATTTCGCTTCAAAGATAAAAATTAACGAGCACAAGAAACTGACAAATCATAAAGTATCTTTTTCCAAAATAAAACCTGCTCATATTGAAGCACGTCGAAAAAATGCTACTTTGTGTAATAAAAGACGGTTATACGTTAACAGAGGATGCTGAATGGGTGTCTAAAGATGTTGAGAGTACAGAATCTTGAATTAAAAAACGATGAAGTTTTTGAATCAGACTCTTTGCCTTTGATTGAATCACTTGAAAATTGGCTGAAAAATCCAAAAACGAGTGAAAATTAAAATTAATATAAAAATAATTATTATTACGTTGATTAATGATAATAGTCTAATAATAAACAGATTGTTAATAATTAAAAAATAAAGTTCTTAAAATAAATTGTTCATCCGATTTTATTAAATTTTTATATTTTTAAATTTGTTCACATAAAGTCTTTTATAAATAATAGTACATATTAATTAACTAATTAATAATTATACATTTTTGATCTGACGTATTCAGAGTTTCATAAAACAATTTTTTTTTGTTAAAATCATGCCTAAATATTACGTAAGAGAGGGAAGTGGAGCGGATCAACGAAAATATTATGGTTTCTTACACAGGTGGGGTGGGGGTCTAGAATGGCCGAAATCGCCCTTACGCAATTTATGGACGACCCCTTGCGAACAACAGGCATACCACCGCCTTGTCTATGTACGCCACCGACCCGGAAGTACTGTGCATGCGGACCTCCAGAACACTAAGTTAATTAGGCAGTCCTTTCAAACAGATCATATTCGTAATTTGGAGGCTTTGGAAATACAGGGTGGGCCAAAAGTCATTTTACCATTTAAAAATTAAATAACTTTTTTGCTATTATTATATTATATTTTTTTTCAGACTTTTAAAATACAGAAATAAATTATGGGTAAATTAACGGCAGAACAATGTGCAGCTGTTAAGGCAAATTATCGGAGAAACAATAATTTTTAGAAATGCGGAGTTTCATTGGTCGTCACGTTCTCCTGAACTGACGACCCCAGATTTCTTTTTATGGGGATATTTAAAACAGCGAGTGTTTATTAATAAGCGCCGAACTCTTGCTAAGCTGAAGGACAATATTCGTCAGAAAATTCGAATGATAAACAGAGTCACTTTGCAAGCAGTGATGGAGAGTGCCATAGAAAGAGCTCGCCTTTGTGAAGAGGAAAACGAGAGTCATTTAAAATTGTTTAGGCCAAAAAATCTCCGAGATGTGTACATTATAATGTTATAAAGACACTTATAAAATAATTAAAAATAAAATAGTTATTTCATTTTTAAATGGTAAATTGTCTTTTGGCCCACCCTGTATATAAAGCTAGCTTGACCGGCAACTGTATTAACTTTAAGGACTGCAATACGGTGGCACGGATGTGCCAGCTTATTGCAGTCCTTTCATACAGGTACAGTACTTACCTGTATGAAAGATTCGAACCAAGTAACCTATATTAATTTCATCTTATACACTATGTACTGTGCATCTTATAAATGTATATGGATAACGTGATCACACTTTTACGGTGTTAGTCCATCAGCCGTATGAATTTGGCTTATGTTGTGAGACATTCGAAATTTCAAAATCGATTTTTCGAACATTATCGTTTTAACATTACAGTTTGGAATTCGGTTTTGTTAAAAACCTGAGGCAGGCCTTGGTGAAGGCCGAAAACGTTTGGAAGTTTCGTTAAAGTTCTGTTACTGGTTAAAAGGTTTTGTGTATTTAATCACTCTAGTAATTTGAGAGGGAGACAGTTATAATATATACTTACATAAAGCATACCAGCAATTATACTTGCAGTAATTATAAACCGTGTAGAAGTAAACTGGTTTAACTGCATGGTGTAAGTACACAGTCAACTAGCAATAGTTATCAAATGGTCACTATATAGCTTATAGAAAGGAGGATTCTAACTCTGCCATCTATGAAAAATAACAGTTACTAAACCTAAAGTGTTAATAAGTATTGTAGTCTATTATACAAATAAATGCTCTTTCCTTTCGTTTTATATATTAAAAGTAAATCGTATTTATTTTTGTTTATCTTAGAAAAGCTAATAATTGAAAGAAAATGTATAAAAATACAGACAAGTATTCATAAATATTCTTTATTTATCACGTAAATACAGACCTTAATACTGTATAAAATTTATCAAAAGAGCCCTTAACGTCATTTGTTATGTAAGTATAGAAAGATATTTTAAAGTTAAAGCTTTAGAAGACTGACAAAAAATATAACTTTTTTGAGTCTATCCTTTTTATCCTTTTCACAGTTCAACTCAGAAGTAACACAAATTGGCTTGAAGATATAACTTTTGATCATTTTTAACTTTGCGTAGATTTTTAATAATCTATAATTGTTGTTTTAATGAAGATTTTGTTATATCTTCAAGCCAATTTGCTGTTACTTCTGAGTTGGAAAAAATTATATATGTATTTTTTAATGTAAATCTTTTAAAGCTTTAAATGAAGATAATCCTGGGTTATGTCGTGTTTATGCAAATAATGTATGATTTTTATGCATACATTCTAAAGTTAAAAATCACTTTGTCATATCCCTGAAAGAAGTGGTTAAAATTAATAGACTTTTAATTTAATTTCTCATTGATCATAAATGAAAAGTATCAAAGCATCAGAATTAACTTTTGGAAAAATATTTAATTAGCTTAATCCATCATTTAGGACAGTTCAACTATCACTAGAAAGATTCTACTGTGTTATTCTAAACGAAACAGATAAATGAGAATTTTAAAATGAAAAGTTAGTAAATCAAATATTACTGTGTATGAATTAATTTTGAGGGATTTTTTACTAAATACATATTTATTACACAAAAGGAAACAACTTACACAAGTCAAAGTATTTTCCTTGTTATTTACAATATTTTCCCTTTTTACTGGCAAGAGATAAATATCACGAGGATAAAATGATTTGTCTTTTGAAACACTTTATTCATTAATGAATTGAAGAGAAAATTCGTTTATTTTTATGGAAGAAATCTGGCATTTAATTATTTTTGCCATTTTTCGCAAATTCTTATTGTTCCAACAAATTCCAAAGTTCATTAAATACACGTGCGTATTCACAGTAGTATGCGTACTTGTTGCTTTAGTCGTTAATAAAGTTTGTTTTCATCAGATCACATGATTTCCGTAATCTCGAACTCAAGACGGTGAATTCTGCATAGAACTAGCCATTGGTTTTCTAGATTAGTGTTTCTTAACAGAGGGCCGCGGATCCCTGAGGGTCCATAAGAAGTTTTCCGGGGGCCGCCAAATTATGCAAAATTTCCTTCAGAATATAATAAAAAGTAAATTGATGTATAACCGAATATCGTATTGAAAAGTGAAATAAGAAAGATAAAGTTTTCGTACTTAGTTTTTTTTATTTATTTCTTCTTACATACAATTTTGTTAGTACAGAAGAAATAAATGCAAATACGCTACTTACACCGCAGTATTTACTTCTTTTATTCCAAAGTAATTCTAAGAAACTATTAATGCTTGGAATTTTAAAAATAATTAGGAAAAATAGTAGGCTTAGTAGTAGGCTTTGAAAATTTAAATGTTTTTGCAAAAGATATGTAAAATCTTTACAAGTTGTGGGTGTTTTAGTTTTAGTTTAGTTTTAGCATCGACTTTGAATCAAATAATCGAACCAAGATTTAACAAATTAGTTGAGGATATTCAGAAGCAGAAATCTTATTAAATTATTTTCGAATATATTTTGTTTTTTCTATGAATTTTTAAATGCTTCTTATTTTATTTTTTGTTAAAAATTAATCAGATTTTATGTTTAATTGTGAATTTTGAATGTTATTTAAACAGATAATGAAATAATAAAGTTATGTTTTACATTTATTATATAAAAATATAGCAATAATTAAAAAAATTAATTTATTATAGATAATTTAACAAATATAAATTATTATTTAAAAAAATGGGGGTCACAAAAAAATTATGAAATATTTGGTGGGC